CCGGGGGTCATTTCTGGTGGTCTCCACTTTCCATGCCCCACAGCACTTGAGGAATATGGAAGGGGCAAACCTGAGCCAAGGGGTGGAGTTTGAGCTCTTGGGCCTCACCAGTGACCCCCAGCTCCAGACACTGCTCTTCGTGGTGTTCCTGGGCATGTACATCGTCACTCTGCTGGGGAACCTGATCATGTTCCTTCTCATCCATGTGAGTGCCACCCTGAACACGCCCATGTACTCCCTCCTGAAAAGCCTGTCCTTCTTGGATTTGTGCTACTCCTCCACGGTTGTCCCCCAGACGCTGGTGAACTTCTTGGCCAAGAGGAAGGTGATCTCCTATCTTGGCTGCATGGCTCAGATGTTCTTCTATGCTGGTTTCGCCACCAGTGAGTGCTATCTCATTGCTGCCATGGCTTACGACCGCTACGCTGCTATTTGCAACCCCCTGCTCTACCCTGTCACCATGTCTCCTGAGGTCTGTGCCTCTCTGATTGTAGGCTCCTACTGTGCAGGATTCCTCAATTCTCTTATCCACACAAGCTGTATCTTCAGTTTGAAATTCTGTGGTGCTCACGTGGTCACTCACTTCTTCTGTGATGGACCTCCCATTCTGTCTCTGTCTTGCGTGAACACCCTGCTGTGTGAGATCCTGCTCTTTATTTTTGCTGGTTTCAACCTTTTGAACTGCACCCTTACCATCTTGGTTTCCTACCTCTTAATTCTCATCACCATCCTGAGAATGAACTCAGCCCAGGGCAGGTTCAAGGCCTTTTCCACCTGTGCTTCCCACCTCACTGCTGTGTGTCTCTTCTACGGCACAACACTTTTTATGTACCTGCGCCCCAAGTCCAAATACTCCCTGGCTCAAGATCGCATAGTTGCAGTGATCTACACGGTGGTGATCCCAATGCTGAACCCCCTTATCTATTCTTTGAGAAACAAAGATGTGAAGAAAGCCTTAAGAAAGGTTTGGAGCAGGGAAATAATGGAATGATCTTGTCAACTCATTGCCACGTATCTTTAGGAAGCTGAGGGAACTTTATCTTATGTGGTGTTATTCTGAGCACATTCCCATGCTCTCCCAGTGAACAGTGGGGTGCTCTCTGGTCTGCAGGTGCTCCTGCATCAACCTGCCAGCCTGCTGTAGAAAGAGTTGGTGGCGTTATAGAGACTAGAAAGAAGTGAGAAGGGGGTGTCTGCTTGTTGCATAATTGGATCCATTGACAAGATTTAGTCATGACTTTTTTCAGATGAATTTATTCATATATCCATGTTCGTGAATATTTTGTTCTATTATTAGAAACTGATATTTATATTCTTAATAATAAAGTTTTCCCCTTAACTAATTTGAAGACCTTGGCCGCTCAGGGGAAGCCTCCCCATTCTTCAGAATTTCCTCTTTGTAAGAAATGACTCCCTGGCTTAAAATGTTTTTGATTGTCTATTTGAATGGTACTGTAACAACAACTTCAAAAGTTCACATGATGTTTTATTGTCTTGTTGACTTTTTCCCTGGCCAAATAGCCGCTTGGTCACTTTCAAACGGAATAAACCTTGGGCAAATTACTGAACTTTTCTGAATCACAGATGTCTCGTCTTTTTTTTTAATGGACACAACTTTTAGAAACTTTATTTTCCGTCAACCTCATTTCCATTCTGTTAAGAGTTTGTGGAAGAACAGCTTAGGACCGCTCAGGGGTTGCTCCTACCCATCCGGCGGCCCGAGCAGTGGGGTCCGCAGGCCAGTCCTGCTCACCTTCAGGCCAGTCTGCGACCTCAGGTTGCACAGCAGTGACCTCGGGAGCTGGAGCAGTCCCTTCACCCTGAAATTCCGTCTTGGTCATGGCCTTTTCAGCAGCGGCCTGCTCTTCCTTTGCAATCTCGTCAGGATTCTGCAGAAGTAGAGACCAGGCAGGACCACCCCGTGGGTGCTCAAGGGGAGGGGGCCTGCTCTGCATGTGCGGAACCTCACAGGCCAGCACCCACCACTCAGCCCCACTGAGGGAGTCCCCTTGTTGCAGGGATGACAATGGCCACACAGCGCAGAGAGTCCGTGCTACACAGAGCAGGGCAGGCAGGTAACATCAGGTTAACACGAGACGCCTCTGTGACATCTGGAGCTCAGCCCTGGGATCAGCGACCACCAGCAGTCTCAGCTCCCGGAAGGCGGCCTGGCTCTGGCTCGTGAAAGTTCCAGGAGTGGAGCGGCTGGCGATAGGGTGGCTCCAGCGTCAGCAGTAAACTTCAGCACAGCTCGCTGGCTGCTATTCCTGGACGATATGACACTGGCATCCCTGGGGTTTCCATAGCAATAATGGCATGAGCTGCCAGCAGAAGCTTCTCCCAGGTTCTCTTCAGATTTATGATGTAGATGCCAGGACTCTTCCTTTTGTAGAAGGACTGTTCCATTCGGAAGTCAAGGTTGGTGCCACCTAAGTGGGTTCCTGCTGCAAGGAATTTAAGGGCATCCTCATTGGTAAACTTGAAGAAAATCAACCAGGCATCCGTGGCTAGTCCCCTCACAAGGGAGACCTGCCCTGGCTCAGTGAATCCATGACTCAGCAAAGTCTGCCTAACTCTGGAATTTACTTTTGTAAAGACCATTTTCCCACAGATACAATTCATATAGCTTTTAATGTAACACAAATGATATTTTGCTCTGTATCTGATTATATTTTATTCTTTTTCTAAATTGTTCAGAATCAATCGGGCTCAAATGCCTTTTTAATAGCTTTATATAGTCGTGTAATCTTCCTCCTTTACTATGTTTCTGTGGTAAATTAAAGACATAGATTTCCTTATGTGAAACCATTTTTGTTTCCTGGAATCCTAGTTGGTTATGAAATGATTTTCTTTTAATACATTGTTGGATCTGATTTGCAAAGGTTTTATTTAGAGTTTGGCATCTATATTCAAAAATAAAGTTGGTTTATGGTCCTTTTGTATTATTTTTATAAACCCTTATTGTGTTTTAGTATTAAAGGTAAACTAGTTTTATAAAATGTATTTAAGTTCTTTCTTCTTTTCCTATAGTGTAGAATAATTTAAATAAGATAGAAATATCTGTTCTTTAAAAATAATATATACTCAGCTATAAAACCATCTGGAACTGGTGCCTTTTTAAAAGGTAAATCTTTAATTACCTTCTCAATTTCTTATATAATTCTAGGTTTCATGTTAGTTTTCTTCCTGCTTATTAAATCAATTTAATCATTTGTATTTTGCTCAAAAATATTTCCTCCCTCTAGATTTTAAAATTTATTGCCATGATTTGCTCATAATATCCTCATAACTTTTGTGTTTGCTCTCTAGGTCAGTACCGTCTACACTGACTCCTGTAGGTTTCTCCTGATAGTTCATTCCATTTTTAGGGCAATGTAAAAAAAATCCCCTTCCATAAAATGAGAAAAATAGATTAAGTGGTCTGTAAGGGTCTTCAAACTTTAACATTTTATGAGATGAGCATTGAAGAAAGGCAATGTTGAGGAACGACTGAACGCATATACTGAAGTGCTAGTCTGCCGAGATTCCAGGCCCAGCTCTGGCCCTCGCTGGCTATGTTACCTTTTTTTACCTCTCTGTGCTATACTATTTTTCATCTATAAAATAAGGAGAGCAACAAAACCTACCTCAGGTGTGAAGTAAATAACATAATACTTGTCATGCTTGTGAAAATTAAATGACAATATTTAAAAGAGTGCTTGCCACACAGTGATTTTTTAGTATTAGTTACTTTTATTTCTTTTGTTTATGCCTGTGGTTATATTGCCTTATACATTCTTTATACTTAAGCTTTTTTTTTTTTATATCTTTATTGGTTTCAGAGAGAGGAAGGAGAGAGATAGAAACATCCATGATGAGAGAGTCACTGATCGGCTGCCTCCTGCACGCCCCCTACTGGGGATCGAGCCCGCAACCCGGGCATGTGCCCTGACCGGGAATCGAACCTCGATCTCCTGGATCCTAGGTTGATGCTCAACTGCTGAGCCATGCCTGGCTGGACAATTCCTCGTATTTAAAAAAAATATTTTCATTGATTTTTAGAGAGAGGAAGGGAGAGAACCGTCGATGTGAGAGTGTAACGTCACTGGGGATTGAGTCTACAAGCCGGGCATGTGCCTTGACCGGGAATCGAACCGGCAACACTTCAGTGCACAGGGCAACACCCAACCAACTGAGCGGCACCGGCCAGGAGTACATTCTTCATATTTTTGTTTGTTTTATTTTCCTTAGGAATGCTTGACAGAGGATTTTATCACTTTTAAAACATTCTGGTTTTGTGCTTTTCTTATTTTTATAATGTATCAGCTTCCCATTTCATTAATTTCAGGTTTTTCTTTATTAATGCCTCTTTTCTGTGTTATTTCATTTATTTATTTTTTGTCAAGTTGTTATTAAATTCTGAAAATCTACAAAAGAATATTTTAAACATATTTATGTCTATCTATCACATAATGATTAAAAATAAAATGCAATCACTCACAATCCAGCTAAAGAGATAACATTACTAACCCACTAGGAGCTGTTCTTGCTTTATCTTCTAGGGGTGCTTATTTATGTCTTTTTGTTTTTAATTTGTAGGGGTTTTTTTGTATGCTGAAAACTGATCTTTTGTTGGTTAAATGTGGGGCAAATATCTTCACATAGTTATGCATTTTAAAAATGTAATTTCTTTTCTTTATGATGCGTTGATTAACAGGAGGTCTTAATTTTAATATCAGCAGATTTATCAGTCCTTTCCTTTCTGGTTTGAATGTTTTCAATGTGTGTCTTAAGAATCTTTCCCAACTAAGATCATAAAGATATTCTCCTATGTTTTCTTCTAAATGTTTTTTTAAAGTTTTGCCTTCACATTTGTTTTACTTTTAGTTTGGGATTAAATTTCTTTTTCTTCAAAATGGATACCCAGTTGTCCCAGGCCATTTCTTGCATAGGCACTAATACCCCACTGATTGCAATGCCAGTTCTGTAATAAGTCAAGTTTTCACTCATGCATGAGCCCTTCTCTGGGTTTTCTGTTCTCTTTCGTTGATCCATTTGTATTTCTCTGCATCGGTACCACATTTTCTTAATGACCATTCCTTTACAACAAAACTGTACCTTATGGGCATTTATGTCACCACCACCATCACCTGGCCTCTCGCTTAGATCTTTCTCTTTAGGTGTATTTTGGCAATTATTGATATGATTTTGTTGCATTCCTTTACTCTTTTTTTAATTTAAAATTTATTAGGCTATTAAGTTCCACGACAAATCTTGTTAGAATTTTGGTTGGAATTGTTCTGAATACATAGATCAGTTCGGGAAATTCCTATCTTTATGATGTGTCTGGGAAGCTGTTCATTTCTTCCTTATTATCAAAGTCTTCATTCTTTCATCCTCATAGTCCTTGGACTTTGGCCAGCTTTTTTAGTCTGTTAAACCTAAGTGGTCACTTTGGAATTTGTGCTATCATCTGAGTTGACATAGTTTGTTGAAGAAAATAAGTGCTTAAAATAGCGTACTAAGTCAGTTATGACTTTTAGTAACCCTCCCTCTTGGTTCTCATAACCTTCCCTCATGCTTAGAGGCCCTCTAGAAAATATCACATCCAGTGTGAGGATCCTAATGCTAACGACAGTGCCTTTGGCTTGGCTCTCTGGCAGGCTCAAAACTCGCAGCTGATGGGGACTCTCTGCCTCACCTGAATGATCACTCCGACCTAATATTAGAAGGAAAACTGCCTCCAGGTACCTATTCTGCTCTCTGGAGTCACACAGGTCTTTATCTATGGTGATCACTTTTATTTCTCCAAGTTATCTCTTCAGGCTCAACAACCACTACATCAGTGTTTTCAATATATGGTTAGTGGATCTTTTGCTTCAGAATAGACAGCATTTTTTTAAATAATGAAAATTCCTGAGTCTCATCCACTAAAAATTGAATCTGCATTTTTCAGGGTAGCCCCAGAATTTGTACTTTTCATTAGTTTACCAGGAGGTTCTCATGCACCCTAATATTTTATGGGCGTTGCACTAAACTTGAAGAGGTGGCCATGCCACTCCTGTTCACCGCTGTAATCCCCACATCTGGAACAATACCTGGAAGATAGTGCTCAGTAATTATTGAATGAATAAATGAATGAATGAATGAATGAATGAATGAATGAATGAATTCTAGCATCAGCCTTTATTATTCCTTCAGAAACCATGTCTCCTATACCTTAGGGCAGCGATTTTCAACCGGTGTGCTGCAAGAATGTTTAAAACATGCATTACCTGACTGTTTAGTCAGGGGCACTGACCTCTTTCCCCTTAAGTTGTCAAATAAAAAATGCCAACACGACAATAGTCATCTGATGTGAATGAATCAGAATTATATCTATCTTGTTTGCCCTGGTCGGGTTGCTCAGTTGGTTGGCGTGTCATCCCGTACACCAAAAGTTTGCAGGTTCCGGTTCGATCCTTGGTAGGGGTGCATGTGGGAGGCAACCAATCGATGTTTCTCTCTCACATTGATGTTTCTCTCTCTATCTCTCTCTCCCTCAAATCAATAAAAACATATCCTTGGGTGAGGTATTAAAAAATTATACCTATTTTTTTGGGTCAGGTCTGCAAAAAACATATTTTTTGGTGAGCTGCGGAATTTTAGTAATTAATTTATGTGTGCCATGAAATAAAAAAAAAGGTTGAAAATCGCTGCCTTAGGGCAATGGCAAACATTTTGATTTCAGGACCCCAAAGAGCTTGTCTTAGAAAATCCTAGAAAACACAAGGCTATATAAGCACCTTCTGTACTAGTCGTTAAAGTGATGTCAGTACGCTTCCGGTGGCCTCTGGAAAACTCTTCTGTGTACTCATAAGAGAATGAGAATGAAAAAGGAGGAAAGAATCTTAGCATTATTGAGAAAATAGTCTTGCCCTCCTGAACTTCCCGTGTGAGTCACTGTTGCAGCGGCTGTTTTGGCCTCAGAGGCAGCATGGCACAGTGGCCAAGGGCATGAACTCCAGAACAAGGGCTTCTGGATATGAACCGGCTCTTTCACTACTGGCTGTGTGACATTAATGTGTAACATTACTTAACCTTCTTGTGTTTCGTTTTCCTTATCTGTAGAACAGGGCGACAGTGCCTGCTTCTCAGGAGTGTTGTGAGGATTAAGTGAGTTAAAATCCTGTAAGTGCTTAGGACAGCGTCAAGCACACAGTAATCACGACAAAGGTGAGGTGAGAATTATTAGAAATGAAGGTGGCATTATTATTATTATTATTATTGCTGTGAAGTGCTACATGACTGCTCATAACTGCTATTTTCTTAGGCCTCCCTTTTATAAAATTTATTGGGGTAACATTGGTTAATGACATTATATACATTTCAGGTGTAAAACTTGATCATATAACATCTGTATACTCCACTGTATACTCACCACCCAGCGCCTCGTCTCTGCCGTCACTGTACTCGCTCCTCCCCTCTCCTCCCTTTTTCTCTGGTGTCCACCATTCTGTTGTCTGTGTCTATGAGGGTTTTTTCTGTTTTATTAATTTGTTTTGTGTGATCATTTATGTTTTGTTTTAATATCCCACATGTGAGTGAAATCATATGATTCTTGTCCTTTCCTGCCTGACATATTTCCCTTAGCGCAATGTTCTGCATATTCATCCACATGGTCACAAATGGCAGTATTTCATCTTTTTATGGCCGAGTAGTATTCCACTCTGTGTATGTACCAGATATTGTTTATCTGATCATCTGTCAAAGGACACTTAGGTTGTTTCCATGTCTTGGCGATCGTGAACAATGCTGCAGTGAACATTGGGTTGCATACATCTTTATGAATAAGTGTTTTCTAATTTTTCAGGTAGATAGATACCCAGAAGAGTGATTACTGGATTGTATGGTGACTCCATTCTTAGTTTTTTGAGGAATTGTCATACTATTTTCCATAGTGGCTGCACCAGTTTACATCCCCACCAGCAGTGTGTGAAGGTTCCTTTTCTCCACATCTTCTCCAGCATTTCTTTCTTTCTTTCTTTTTTTTTAAAAATATATCTTTATTGATTTCAGAGAGAGGAAAGGAGAGGGAGAGAGACAGAAACATCAATGACGAGAGAGTCATTGATCGGCTGCCGCCCGCAACCTGAGCATGTGCCCTGACTGGTAATCGAACCCTGATCGCCGGATCCTAGGTTGACGCTCAACCGCTGAGCCACGCCCAGCCGGGCTCCAGCATTTATTTCTTGTCTTATTGGTAATAGCCATTTAACCAGTCTAAGGTGGTATCTAATTGTGTGTTTTTTTTAATTTTTATTTTTCAATTACAGTTTACATTTAACATTAATTTGTATTAATACCATAGTAATTAGACAATCATATACTTTACAAAGCGTCCCCCCACTCTGGTATTTTCAGTACTCACCTGGCATCCTACATAGTTATGTGTATTTCCTATATTGTCTATATTTCCTATGCTGTATTTTATATCCCTATGACTATTTTGTAACTACCAATTTGTACTTCTTCATTGTGGTTTTCATTTGCATTTCCCTTATAGCTCTATCTTTATTTCCCTTATAACTATATATCATATAGCTGTTGGTTAGGCCCCTTTTAAGAAAACAAACCACATTTGCAGCCCACCTGTCCTGCAACCCAGTGTCCACCTGTAGTCAGGGGTCACAGGTTTGGACAAGTTTTCTAATTCCTTCCCTGAATTCTTCTTAAATTCCCTGTTTGTTACAGGGAATTGCAAAAGCAGCTTCTAGTCAGTACCTCTTAGTATGATTTCACTATGTCTTCATTCTCTTTGCTTGCTCTCCCCTTTTTGAAAGGTATTTTCCCCCTATAATAATTCTTTGACTCTGTTAGTTCACCATACAAGAGATTTTTTTTATTTTTGAGTACATGCTTACTTGTCTCTCTGAAATTCTCTTCCTCCTTCACTTTCCAGATTCTTTGGTGTTATTTACCATTAAAACTCTATCTTTTGCCCTGCCAGGCGTGGCTCAGTGATTGAACATTGACGTGGGATCCAGGAGATCGGGGTTCGATGCCCAGTCAGGGCACAGGCCCGGGTTTCGGGCTTGATCCCCAGTGGGCGGTGTGTGTGTGGGGGGGAGGGGCGATCAATGACTCTCTCATCGTTGATGTTTCTCTCTCTCTCCTTCTCCCTTCCTCTCTCTGAAATCAATAAAATATACTTTTTAAAAAAACACATTCTATCTTTCAGTTTTTCCCCAACTAAAATGTTCCATTTAAGAAGTAAGAAGAGCCCTGGCCAGTGTGGCTCAGTGGTTAGAGTGCGCCCACACACCGAAGGGTCAAGTGTTCGATTCCCAGTCAAGAATACATGTCCAGGGGGGTGGGACGGGGTGGAACAGGCCATTGGGGAGAAAAGGGGACATCTGTAATACTTTAAACAAAAAATAAAAATAAAATAAAATAAAATACATGCCTGGGTTGCAGGTCTGACCCCTGGTCCTGTGTGGGCACATGCAGAGGCAACCAATCGATGTGTCTTTCTCACATTGTTTCCCTCCCTCCCTCCCTCCTTTCTACTCTCTCTAATAGTCAGTGGGAAAAAATATCCTTGGGTGGGGATTAACACATACACACACACAAAAATGTAAGAAGAGTTTTCGGCTCAACATAAGGAAAACCTTTACAAAATATTTAGACCCCTAAATTTCTCACTGGAGGAATTTTGTAAAAGCATTTTTTAAAAAGTAAATACAGGGCGGGCCCCGCGCGCGGCCGCGTTTGAACGGCCCTGAGTGGGGCTCGGCCCGGAGCCCAGGGACCCCATCGGTTTCGGGGGCGACTGAGGCGCCCCGGTACCATGAGGCGCCCGTATTGAAGAGATTATGGCATCTGAAACCCACAATGTTAAAGAACGGAACTTTTATAATAATATTGAGGATCATTCCATTGATCTTCCTAGAAAAAAGATCTCTAATTTTACTAATAAGAACATGAAGGAGGTTAAGAAATCTCCAAAACAGTTGGCTGCTTACAGAAATAGTGTTTTCCAGAGAGAGAGTAGAAGGGAGAAAGAGAGAGAAACATGGATGGAGAGAGACACTCATTGGCTGCCTCCCACCCGCAGGGACTGAGTCTGCAACTGAGAACAGTTGGACAAGCTGTGAAAAACCCAGATGAACTACGGAAGGTGATCTTCCACAGAAAGAAGGTCATTATCCTTTTCCAAATTCTTGTTCTAAAAAGAAACAGTCCCCTAGAAGTGGGGGCTGTGACATGGCAAATAAAGAAAATGAACTGGCTTGCGCAGGCCACCTGCCTGAAAAATTACACCATGATAGTCGAACATACTTGCTTAACTCCAGCGATTCTGGTTCTTCACAGACAGAAAGTGCATCATCAAAATACAGTGGGTTTTTTTCTGAGGTTTCTCAGGACCATGAAACAATGGCACAAGTTTTGTTCAGCAGGAATTTGAGATTGAATGTAGCTTTAACTTTCTGGAAAAAAAGAAGTATAAGTGAACTTGTAGCTTATTTGGTGAGGATAGAAGACCTTGGAGTGGTGGTGGAGTGCCTTCCTGTGCTTACCGATAGTTTACAGGAAGAAAAGCAATATATCTCACTCGGCTGCTGTGTAGACTTGTTGCCTCTTGTAAAGTCACTACTTAAAAGCAAATTTGAAGAATATATAATAGTTGGTTTAAACTGGCTTCAAGCAGTCATAAAAAGGCGGTGGTCAGAACTATCATCCAAAACAGAAATTATAAATGATGGAAATATTCAGATTTTAAAACAGCAATTAAGTGGATTGTGGGAACAAGAAAACCATCTTACGTTGGTTCCAGGATATACTGGTAATATAGCTAAGGATGTAGATGCTTATTTATTACAGTTGCATTGAAAGACTTCATCTACTAAAGAGCATTTGGTTGTTCAAAGCATCCCTGGGCTCTGTGGTTTCCGAATAAGTCTCATTGGAGAACTGTGAACTGTGGAAGAAATCAGAACCTTTTTTGTTTTTTTAAAGCCACATAATAAAACCACTAACAAAACGCTAACGGTCTACTTCACATTGAAGTGGAAAATTATCCGAAAGGAGCAGCTTCAACTTGAGTGAGGTGAAAGCGCACCGTGAAGAAGATTGTTCACCTTTGCTGCACTTGGGATTTATATGGTTATTTGGCAACATTGTTTAAGAACTACTGGATCTTAGTGCAGTCCTGCATAAGAATATACTTTATACTTTGTGAAAAATAAGACAGAACTTATTACTAGGAACCGCAAAGACCAACCATCATTACTTTTTTTAAGATTGTGTTTTATAAGAAAACACTCAAATGTGTGCAGCTATTTTCTTATATTAAAAAGACTTTGAAAGTTTAAGACATCATAGCAAATAATACTAAAGGTTGTTTTTCCACACTGAGATACTCTGTATACAAGATGCCTTAATTATTAATAAGCCAATGTGTATAATACCAGTATCTGTTTTTAAAAAATTAAAACCAACCATGCTTCTGGCATGAAAATTATGGAATTAAATCAGGGGTTTCCATTCATGTAGAAGGTTGTCGTTAAAACTTATTCCACACCATCTTTAAAACTTGAGCATATTTTTAATACCTCTGAATTTTTTTTTGCCAGAATTGTCATGTCATGTATGTATGTATTATTCCTATATAAAAGAGGTGAATATGAAAAAACAAACAAACAAAAAAGTAAATACAATTCACCTATAATCACCCTACTAAAATGTAGCTATTAATATGCTGGCATGTACACTTCCAGTAGGTTTTATTCCCTATGCAATAGGAGTTTTTTACAATGTAATTGGGATCATTGAAATATACTGTTTTGGTTTAATAATATATGCTATATGATAAATACTTCTTTATTTCATTACATATTATTCTACAGCATATTTTAAAAAGGACTCAAGTAATCCAGGATTTCTTAAGAATAATTAGAACATTAATCCTAAATGACCACCCAACGGACAACCAGAGTAATTTGATATTTGCCCTTCTACACTTTTTTCTGGCATATACTTTTAGAAAAACAAAACCAGCTATACCAACTGTTTTGTAGTGTGTTTTAAATATTGCGGTAAAATTCACATAACATAAAATTCACCATTGAAATTATTTTAAAGTGTATAATTCAGTGGCATTTAGTACATTCACAATGTTTACAACCATCACCACTATCTATTCCAGAACATTTTCAGCTTTGCAGAAAGAAACCCCGTAGCCAGTAAACAGTCACTCCCCGTTCTCTCCTTCCTTCAGCCCCTGGCAACCCCTCGTATGCTTTCTGTTTGTATGAATTTACCTGTTTTAGATATTTCAGATAAATGGAATCATACAGTATGTGGCCTTTTGTGTCTGGTTTCTTTCACTTAGCATATTTTCTGGATTCATCCATGTAGCATGGTGGAATAAGAAATATTTCATCATATGGATATATACTGCATTTTGTTTATTTATTCATCAGTTGATGGACATTTGCATTGTTTCCACCTTTTGGCAACTGTAAACAGTGCTGCTGTGAACATTCATGTCCTTTTTTTGTTTGTTTGTTTGAACACCTGTTAGGTATATGAGCAAAACTGCTGGATCATATGGTAGGTTAATCTATGCTTAAACTATTGAGGAACTGCCAAGCTATTTTCCCTTTGAAAAAAAAAATAATTGATTGATTTTTAGAGAGAGAGAGAGGAAGAAAGAGAAACATCGATTTGTTGTTGTTCCACTTATTTATGCATTCATTGGTCCCTTGCTTCTTGTATGTGCCCTGACCAGGGCCTGAACCTGCAACCTTGGCACACTGGGACACACTCTAACCAACTGAGCTGCCTGGCCAGGGCCTGCCAAGCTATTTTCCACAGCAGCATTGTATATTTCTTCCAGCAATACATGAGTGTTCTAATTTCTCCACATCCTTGAAAACACTTATTTTCAAATGTCCTAGCAGAAGTGAAGTGGTAAAGTGGTATCTCATTGTGGTTTCGAATTGCATTTCCCCAATGACTAATGACACTCAACATAATTTTCAAGTGCTTATTGGTCATTTTTAAATGTTGCAGTTTCGGTCACCATCAGGGCACATACAGAACCAACCAGCGAATGCAAAAATAAGCGGAACAACAAATCAATCTCTCTCTGTCTCTCTCTCTCTCTCAAATCAATCAATAAAAAATATTTAAAACACATTTGTTTTAAAAAAAAATGAAGACCCAAATAGGTGATTAGACACAGGGGATTACATACTATTTTAATACAGGGTAAGGAATTGTGAAGAAGTGACAAGACAGAGGAAAGGGGGCTTGGATTTCTAGGAGTGGTAAAGTGTGGGAAAGTAAATATATGGGGAAATTGATGGAAGATAAGGGTTATTTTAGTAAGGTTTGTTTGTGCAGACCCTTCACGGTGCTGACTCTGTCTGCTGTGATAATGATTGTTTTTCTTCCTCCTGCTATGGGAAAGTAGAGGGGGAAGACCTCAGGGGAGCTTCCCTAAGCAGGTGAGGACTGAGCTGAGTCTGCAAGGATCAGCAGCAGATAGCGACAGGAAGGGCTGGTGAGGGGCCAGCACCAGCTACCGCAGCTGGAATCAGGCGCGGAAGGAAGAAACACGGGTGCCAAAGTGAGATCTTCTGACTTAGCCGCTTGGGCATGGTATGGCTTTGACTTCCCATTAGTGTTTTAATTGTTGTAGCTTCTCCCCACTGTGTGCAACAAACAGCCCCACCCCTGTCTAGGCCGTAACTGGATCAGTGCTATCATCATCATCATCCTCATCATCATCATCCCTGGGCTAATCAAAAAGACAAAATGAGGGAGAGAAGGAGTGACGCTCAAAGAGGGGGTGGAAGTGTTTATCATACATATTAATAATTTAAAAAAACTGTTAAGGCTGCATGCCACCTTCCTCAGACTGCTGTCACTGAAGAGTTAAGTGCGAGGAAGGGGATGTGGGAGGTGACAGTGGAAAGACAGGCCGGGGCCAGGTCGCAGGGGTCATTACACCATTTTTATTTTTTATTTATTTATTTATTTTTTAAAATATGTCTTTATTGACTTCAGAGAGAGGAAAGGAGAGGGAGAGAGAGACAGAAACATCAATGATGAGAGAGTCATTGATCGGGCCCACAACCGGGGCATGTGCCCTGACCGGGAATCGAACCCCAATCGCCTGAATCCTAGGTCAACGCTCAACCGCTGAGCCACGCCTGGCTGGGCAATTACACCATTTTTAAAAGCTTGGACTTGGTCTTCGAGGTGATGGGAATGACTAAGGACTTTTAAGCAAGGAAGCTAGTGGTCACATTTATGTGGATAATGTGAACGATATATCAGAGAAAGACAAGCCCGAAGGCATAGAAACTATTTAGGAAGCTTTTTCTGTGGTTGAGGTGAAAGGTGGTGATGAGGGGAAAAGACTGATTCAACAGCAGGAGGAAAATCTATAGAATATAGTGAGTAATTGGCTAGAGGAAATGAGTTCATTTAAAAAAAATTTACAGCATAGTAGACATTTACATTTATAAAACTTATGAAGTGATCCTCGTGATAAATCTAATATCCATTACACAGTATTACAATATTATTGACTATTTGAGGGAGGGGAGTTTAGCATTCAGCTTGTGTGACCAAGTGAACACACCAGTTAAGACAGAAAATTCAGGAGGAGATTAAAGACGGTAGTGGACTGAGTGGAAGCTACACTGACACTCTCCCAGGACCAAACTGGAATTACAACTAAAATATAGAAAAACCATCCTGAATAATCAACTGCAACTGAAGACCAGCTAGAGAGCACCCTCACAACCAAGGAGGAAAAGTGGAGACCACATGGAGACCGGTAGGAAGTGCGGATGTGAGAGGGCTCGCTGGGCTCCCACAGGCAGCTGCTGAGGGTCCAGAGGGATGTCTCAGCTGTGGGGGCTCCCACTGAGGACTCGGGGGCCTAAACCCCAGGCTGGGCTTCCCAGCCCAGATGACCAGAACTGAGAAAGGTGCCCACGTAACATCTGGCTGTGAAAAGCAGCAGGGTTTCTGACTGCCAGAGAGAGACAGCTGGAAATGCAGGCACCCTCTTAAAGAGCCAATGCACAAATTTTGTGTGCAGCCCCTCACCTTGGGCTCCAGCAGAGGGAGGGCAGAGTGGACTGGAGCTGTGTGAGGAGAATCTAGAGTTGTAGGCTCTGGAGATAGAGCTCAGAGGGCACCCCCCCCCCCTCTGGATTCCTGGGCCGAGTCATTCCCCCACAGTGTGGAGGCAGACATTTACCTTCCAAGCAGCTTTTGCCTGAGGAGGAAGCACTTGCCCCACCCTGCTGGAAAACCTCTCTCCCTACCCTGTGGAGTTGCTACAACCTGATGCTCCTTAAGAGAATCAGATTAATCAGCCTGCAGGCAGAGACAGACCTCAGAGTGCTTTGAGTCTTTGCCTGATCTGCTTCTGGACCCGGGCCTTGGAAAAGCAGACTTTGGTGTGCATCTTGGTCCTGTCCAAATGCACCCAGCCCCAGCAGGGGGGATCTTAAGCCATGGGTTGTTGATAGCTCCAAACAGGGTACTCAAGGCCAGTCACAAACAGTGTCTTACATTGGCCTGCACCAGAGACCATCCAAAAAGACTGAGAGTCCTAGCAGGCCTACCTAATACAGAGAAACAAACCCAAATAGGAGAAAAAATGGGGAGAGAAAAAAACAAGCCCCAAATGAAAGAACAAGAGAAGCCTCTAGAAAAAGAGCTAAATGAGATGAAGATAAGCTATCTATCAGATATAGAGTTCAGAATACTGATTGTAAGGATGCTCAACAGCATGAAAAAAGGTATGGAAACTATGAAGGAAATAAAGAATACACTGGGCACGGCCAGGCGTGGCTCAGCAATTGAGCATCAACCTAAGATCCAGGAGATTGCTGTTCAACTGCAGATCCGGGCACATGCCCAGGTTGCAAGTTCGATCCCTAGTCGAGGGCATGCAGGAGGCAGCCGATCAATGACACTCTCATTGTTGATGTTTCTATCTCTCTCCCTTTCTCTCTCTGAAATCAATAAAGACATATTTAAAAAAACAAAGAAACAACTGCCTGGAAACAAATGAAAATGAACACAAAACCCCCCAAAATCTATGGGACACAGTGAAAGCAGTCCTAAGAGGGAAGCTTATAGCACTGCAGGCCTACCTCAAAAAGCAAGAGAAGTTTTTAGTAAACTATCTA